GTAGGGCTATTTTAATGGCCTTGATTGCTGCCCACAGCCTGTCAACCCTTACATAATGATTCCAAGTTATTGGTCATCTGACATCGAAAGTTTCTCGGTACAAGCCAAGTTACTAGACCATTGCCTTGAGGTGTAATTGCCCATCCAGTCATTTTCATTTCTGAGAATACATGACTAAAATGTTCCCTTCAATTTTTTTTCATAAGTATTTCTCACAGTATAAGCACTGTCCCATGAGCAGTTCTTTACTGTAAATCGTCAACTCATTTCAGTGCATTGTTCATTCCAGTTCCATTCACTCAGTTCAATTCATGCAATCAGTTCTCTTTTCCTCAGTTAAACAGTTGAATATGTCAATCAATGTATGTAAGAAATTGTTAAGGAATTAAGTCGCGGTTAACACAGTGTATTGACTAACCGATTGACGCCCATGGGGCCATCGCAAATTAATCCTTTGAAAAAAAAATATATATAGGTGGAATTAACAACCAATTTTCAAAATTTTCAAAATGGCTACCATTGCTGGTACCTATATTAAGGGTTGATCTTCGATGGCCCTATGTTGCCAAATATCAGTCTTATACTCTGATTGTGTTCCAAATGACATGCTTGTATCATCAAAGGCATATATATCTGCCGTACTTTATGCACCACTTTTTCATCATCAAACAAGAGGAAAAACAGCAAAGAAATAGGAAAGGTTGGCATGGAGGAGTAAGATCAATGAGGTTATTAAGTGCTTTGTAAGACTTCAAAAAGTAACATTTAATAAACCATAGAGGGGAATTTCAATTCCTTGGGTCTTCAATTTCCGAGGTACGCTTGAAGTCATGCGAGTCACCAAACATACGCACACACGGCTTCAACTTTTCCCCCACAAAGGACCTCAGCGCGGCCGAAACAGAACAATTTCCCGGAACCCGAATTGGAGTACAAAGGTGAGGTCTTTTTATGAATAAAAATAATCATTGAATCATCCGTGTATTACATAAGAGCAGATAATGGGGAAATGCTCCCATGAATCGACCCGGAATATACGAACTGCAAATAAAAAACGCGCGGGAACTCGAAGGCCGAGTTGGAACCGGTTTCTTTTTGCCGCAGCTATAGACGACCTTGCTCAGTGTTTGCTAAACTTGTAGAAGTATGTTCGGCATTTGTACGGAGACGTGGAACGACGTGGCTCTGTAAAGAGTTACATAATACTATACATGGGCGTCGCCAACATTTTTTTCTAGAGGGGGGTAAAGCACATTTTTTTTCTGAGGGTGGACAGGGACATTTTGCCCCCAACCCATTAAATTAACAACAATATGATTTCGGGGGGCAAGCCGCCCATGATACTATAGATAGGCGTCCAGGGTATTTTTGGGAATATTTTCCTCCAATAACTTGCAGTACTGAGGGGATAATCCGGTGCGAGTTACATTTTCAACAAGAAATCACAACAGAAATAAAAGACAGCAAACCTATATCTGTGGTGAGCTATCATGGCACAGAATTCACACACAAATCCATAAAAACATAGGCCCTTGTAGAGTGTCACGTTGTATACATGTACATGTACATGTATCATCATTATACGCAAAAACATACACGAAAAGGAGAGCAGTGGTACGACTTGAGCAAGTCTAGACGCCATGAAACAACAGGCGACCTTCGCACACAACAAATAAAGGCGGGGTTTCATCAGACAGCGTTTGGCAAGAAACCGAGAATTTCTGGGCGAGGCCACCGTAACTGATTCGCAAGGACACAAGCTGTCGGCTATGGTTGTTATTATGCAAGGTCAAATGGAACCGTATCTCATTAACAAAATGTAAGGGCAAGAAACAGCCATATCATCAAGAAAACTCAAGGCAACTTGACCAGATATTTTATAATTTAATAAAATTAACATGGTCGTGTGAGGATTTGCTTTTGCATAAAAAGAAATTGATTTATCAGGATTATATAACACGCCACGCTATTCCTTCCTCCATGCTTCAACAACAGAGTACTAGGACTAGGTGTCCGAAAATCCAATTGAATGCCGGAGTTAAGGGGTCTTAATGATAACTCGGCCATTCACGGCAAGACCTTTCAATTATGGATCCCTAACTTTGTCATATTTCGGAGATGAGGCAAGAACATGGATTGAAGACCACAACTCTCTATCCACTAGTAGAAAATATAAATGACATTTTTTTCATGAGAACGTCATGTCACAACAAACATTATAGGGCCTACATCAGATTAAAACGCGGGCAAGGATTTTTCTTCGATAAGTCAACAAATAAGACCCATCAATCGGTGGAAAATTGTGTCAGCAAGTTTGCAACCATTATGTTGTCATGTTTAGATGGCGTATCAGGAGGCCACGCGGCCACGAGGATGTTATCGCAGTGTTTGCACTAGCCTGACCCAGATATTACATATTTTCCCTATCACTGGCAACCAAGGCCACAATTAACGCATAAGGCTCATGTGATGCGTCACGTGTAGGTTGTGCATACGTGTACAGACTACGTCTATACTTTATGCTGACCTTCTATACATAGATACAGCTACAGTAATGTGAGACAACATAATGCACATTCAGAAGTGTATGTTCAATCACTATTTATTTTCTCAGTTCTGTTCGGATAGTAATGTCACTCACATTGTTTATACTCGGAAAGTTACCTATAGACCTTAATGCGTATAGCGGCCATCTTAGAGGGCATCTTTTGTCATTTTATTTCAGTAACAACGAATGCGCAAAAGGTTCACTCATGCGCATCCCAGCCAAACAAAGGCTTTGCCCTCTAAGATGGCTGCTATACACATACGGTCTATTGTTGATGTTCCCTAACGAGGCGCGGCCCCTAAACGTGGCGCACTTTGATTTTTCGCCTCAAGCGCCTTGCTAGAGCAAAAGTTTCTCGTGAAATTTCACAGTAAGTGAAATTTCATCAAGCTCTATTCATTCCCTTTCATAAATCGTGAGTTTACCTACCCGTTACAAAGTCAGCAGAGAAATACATTTTGGCATGATTTTCTGATTTTATTTTCAAAGTGCACAGTGAACCCTTTGAAAATGCGCCCAAAAATGAAATAATTTTCTGACAAATTTCTTGTTGCGTATGTAAGTAGAGATAAATAATGGTTTATCAGAATTTATCAACTTTAAAGAAATGTTTAAATGTTTAAACTTGGGATTTACTCAACTGCGCCACATTAGGGAACACACAGCCAAATTTGTGCCCAATTTCCGGACGCCACCGCTTTTGAATTTTGGACTTAATTTCATGACACTGAAACTGTTCACGAAAGGCTCAACAGCAAGCGTTATGCAGGTAAAGTATCATTGTTTAACTGAATCAATGAATTTGAAGTTTCTCAACAAAGACGTTTGGCAACACTGTGAGGAAAGTTGGGGGAAACGCCGAAGTGCGCCACGTTAGGGGACTCCACTACAGGCCTAAATCGCGCATTTTGTCGGCGAATGCCGGGATTTAGGGCCTAGGCCCAATTATTTTCATGCATTTTCTACACAGAAAGAGAACTCATTTTTCGCTCATTAAATTATAAATACAGTCCAGATAACTTCATAGAAAAACCCATTAATACATTACATGATGCCAACACTATCCAGGTTTCTATGCCCATCATGCATACAAGTGACACTTAGTGGGAAAGTCAATTGCCCCATTACAAAATTAGGCCATGGTTGATTACTAGATGCAGTATACCGTCATTAATCTGAAATTCGAACAACCGATGGTCTCAGTTAATTAAAAAAAGAGTACAATAAACTTACCGTCAAGGCCAGTCATGTATGCAAAGTGTGTCAGGCACTGTTGCTGTTTTTGGCCTAGTATTCATGACTAGTCAAATAATAAAACTATAACAAACGGAGAGAAAATGGCGAATTCACTTTTGTCCTGAAGACGAGAACTTGAAATTGGCACTCCTCAAACGTGTCGGCCATTTTGTTTGAATTCCTGCGCGGTTTTACCCCAGTCACCGATTGTTCGAAGAAGCCGGAAGTAATTTTAAATAATGTTCCATTTTGGAAACAAGAAAGTTTAGGAAAATCATATGAAACATAAGATTAATAATTTTACTGACATCATGAAGGAAAACTAGCTTGGTTTGTTTTTAACATGGCGTACGTACCTATAGCAGAGCAAAAAGGGTCTGTGGTAAAAAATATCACTTGTCCTTGAAGTTCCCGCATGCGCACATCACCCACACGACGTAGAACAAAAGATGACTCTCACTGCCAGCAATGTAATCATTTGTGTATAGAGATAACTTCTGCCCAATTTCAAATCACAACGATATCCAAATTTTGGTCGACACGTGCACAATTTGATAGTTTTGGTATCATGCAACTCAAATAGGCTTCTTGTCAGGTAGAAATGGAGTTAACCGTGTTTGTGTCGCCTCCCCCCCCCCCAAAAAAGAGCCCCAATAAAGAGACCCGTTTTGTCTTTCCCAATTGTTCTAACAGAAAATTCCCCACACTGCACGCAATACAGGGTGTCCCCAAAAAGTTGTGCAAGCAGATATCCTTTAATTGCTCAAAAACTACTTAGCATGAGTATTTCATCTTGGGTGGAGCATATCATTTACACTCTGTGTGTATATTCAGTTAAAAAAGCCAAGGAACTCCGTTGATGCACACCAGAAATCTAACATATTATAAATGGCTATAGGTTTTTCACCCATTCCAACGGGATGGAATTTACACAGTTAGCTTCATTTACATCCGAGTAAAAAGGCCCATGACAATCTGATGCAGCCTTTTACAATCTGTTAGATCTCTAGTTTGCAAGAACGGATTTCCATGGCATTTTCACTGATTATACACAAGAGTATAATTAATATGCTCCATCAAGATGAAATTATCAAGTTAAGTAGTTTTTGAGAAATTAAAGGTTATCTGCAGTGCACTTTTTTAGGGGTGGGGGAGGAACCATGTATGGCAATAAGCTATGACATGAACAGCAACTTTAACAAGCACAAGAGTCAAGTTCTTGTTTTGTACAGTTCTGTTGTCTGATTTTATTTTTCACCAACGACACAAAGAATAAAGCCTTACAACAACACGCAGACACAAGAATTTCTGTTTGCACAAAAAAAGTAAACAAAATCCACAGTGATCAACCAATCAAATGGTTTTCCCTTAAGCAACAGGATCTCGCCTTGTTTGGCTGTTACATCACGAAGTGATTTCAAAAATAAGAAATAAAAAAAAAATTACTGAGTTATTACAGACAATACTTTTATGTTTAAAAGTCCAATATACTATTGAACTAGTTTGAACTAGTGCTACGTATTTACAAATGACTTTGTCTTCTTTTTTGAACTTGAAAATAGGGATCTTAGTTTTATGAGAAAGGGAAAATTATTATCAAACAAGCTGAAGGGGGGGGGGGGGCATCAGAGCACTACTAACCTGTACCCGATTCAAGAAATAAATTATCTGTACTTGGTTAATGATTAATAGTCGAGAGTGTGTGGGGAATTCTACCTGTCATCTTGCCTTGAATATTGCATCTTGACTCTTCTAGTTCAGTAACCCAGATTCAGGAAAGATGGGGAACAAGAGTGTATCAACACCTCCCCCCCCCCCCAACCCACTTAAGCGATACCTTGATTTCCTCCATTCCATTTCTGCTGGTTCATAACAAAGTTGACAAAAAAAGGACATTGAAAAACAAACTATGGTGTGCATTTGTAGAGTCTTGTAAAAGTATAAATGTTGACAAAGTGAAGTTAATAAATATGAACAAACAAACAACCAACTATTCTCTTCTCGAACTTATTTACAGGCGAACAAACACAGAAAGTCTTTGTTAACAACGGGGGAAAATGCAAAAAATCTTAAGTTTAAATATTTATACACTATAATCTGTGTTTCATTAATACAACTACAAACAATAAACAAGCAGTATTTCAGTGAGGCTCAGGTGTTTAAACAACAAAAAAATATCTGTTCTGATTTTTTTTTCTTTCTTGACTCGAGAACTATTATCGCTCAATCTTTTCCTCATTCCCTCCATTTTGGAATATTATTGTTCTCTTAGTCTTAAGCCTGCAGCGATATTTCAGTAAAAGGACATGTTCTCTTTCCTACTTTGCTTTCAAACACAAAATCTGCATCTTACACGTACTAAAAAATGAAGAATAACTTTTGATCCATTTGTGATACAAGAAACGTTTCTGTAAGTCTTGCGTATCTACTCCATTGTACTGTAAACACAAACATAAAAATAAGGCATTGAGCAGAATTGTTGATTATTTTTTACTAACTTTTTTCCTCCAATCATAAATAGTCTTTACTAATCGCAATAAATAATCTGGGTTTATAAATAACCCACAACACTTCCTTTTTACAACTGTCCCCTTTTTGGAACTTTCTCAATACTTTTTTATTAAGACTCATTACTTTTGAAAACATCTTTCAATTTCGAAACGTTTTCCAAGCAACACACTGGATGTTTTTTTTTTTACTAAATATGAAAGCAAAACAAAACTGAAACATCGCAAAGCGTCTTATACAAAATGCGGCATATTGCTGACGGAATATGTAACAATCGTGAATTCTTGAATTTGAATAAGATAAGTAAAAACATGTGGAAAAAGCAGAATCTATGAGTGAAACAAATCTGTCTAATCACACATTTTACGACAACAATATCTGAACATCGTCACTGCAGTGTCCCTTGTATTTTTTTTATCTCTTTACTGTCACCATGGTGACGAAGGGAAAAACCTTGCGTTCACTGACAAGGCCACAGTGCATTTCCTGTTGTTCAAATTATCTGCTTCACAACATAATATAATTAACGAGAAGTTCTGTGTGTAGTCTGAACTCAAACGGAAGTGGAAACATGTCAAGCTGCAATTTAACATGTGAACAAACAAACATTTAAAACAAAAAGCCAGAAAGCAATTATGTGACTTCCTTTTACTTCCAAATCTGTACGGCATCTCTAGTAACTAGAAACCTGCTGGCACTGAGTAAACGTTGAGCCAGATATTTTACCTAAATTTAAATTACGGCACTATTTTGAACAGTGTCATCATCACAGCATCACAGACCACACTGGCACAACACTGACTTTTAAGCCATTTGAAACAAAAAAAACGGACCAAAACAACAATTACACACAACACGAAATACATACACTAATCAAGTAATCCTCTGTTTTACTTTTTTTTTCTGAGAAACTCCAAATACTTTAAAAACTCTGTACATATCGCTTGCCTTGATTACAACTTTAGGTGGGAGAGATCGAGTAGTCTTACTGTACAGTATACGGCAGCCTGTCTTCTGACGGCCCTATCAATAAATAAACATTTTCTAAAATCACCTGTATGCATAGATTTCCAAAGCCAAATTTTCAAAGATTCCTCATCATCCCCCCCCCCAAAAAAAAAGTCGGGAAAGAAAGTAGTATCCAGACGCCACTTCTTTCGTCGTGTGCAAAGTCTATGGAGAGTCGACTGCATTTTCAAAGTATGTTCTCAACAAAATTGGAAAATGGAAATGTTTCTCAGTCCCAGATTCATGCCTTTTCGACATTTTTGTGCAATGACTGACCATCATTGAGATAATATACGATGAAAAAAAGTGGCGTCAGGATGCAACAATCTTTCCCAAAGTTAAAATTTCAAATGAGGTGACTGATGAACCAGCTGCAATCTAGACTTCTGTTTACCTTCTGAAAGATAAATGTTAGCATCTTAAGTTTTCTTCTTCTTCTTTTTTTTTGAATCTGATACAATCAAATCAAATCAAATCAAAATCAGCGATTTGTATCTCAAAAAACAATTGTAATACTATGCGTGTACGACAAATACTTCAAAACAAAACAAATTAAATTTCCATGATTAAGCTCAGTGAACACGTGGAACATCTCTATTTTTTCTCTAGCAAATATATTCTGTAAATTGGTCTGCTTTGAATAACGAGCATTGAGTAAAGAGAGCTACATTAATTAAACGGTGGGTTTTGCAGGATTTTTTTTTGTTAGAACCAACTTGGTTAAATAATTGAAACATTTATGATCATTTTGCATTTCCTGGTCCTTATGTGCAGCAAAAGCATGAGTAAAGTACATGTATTAAGCCAGTTCGGTGTCTCGATGACGTAGTCCAGGTCAAAGGTCATTCAGGATAAAATCACTGACGCGATGTTACACGATGTTAGGCGAATACCCATTCTGCTTGTAATTAACGCGCGAGCGTCTCGCGATCGTCTCCTTGCGCGTTCATGCACCTTCGAAGAGCATTTGATTATCCCGAATGACATGTGACCCATATCATTGTGCGCAACGCACGCACAGTTGAAACACCAAACGGGCTTATTGAACTCAACCGTAAGTGCAACACAACAAACTGGTTACTATCCAAAAGGGATGCAATAATGTGACGACAGTATGCACGATTAAAAAAAATACTGCGTTCAGTAAAATGGTAACAAATTCCCCAGTTTTTCCATTTAGGTGGTTTTGTTTTGAGTGCTCATATTTTTTTCTTGGATTACCATTGTGCAATAACTCTGATTTTACAATCTTAGATTTCTCACATGACATTGAACATGATAGACTGGCCAACCAGTTCCTTCCCCCCTATTATTAATGCAGGATACAATTTTGTTATACACATAAAATATGAATTCCACTTTGCAGTTTGTACACATTTGTATCTTCCAATTTGTTTTTGTTGTTATTTTTTTTTAAATTAAATTCAAGTAACAAATGTTGGTCATTAAACTCGGTGGCTTCAAAGTTGGCATATATTCCAATGAGTTTTGAAATTTGCACAGCTTGGGTTTGCGACACTTGACCTCCCAGTTACAAACTTTATTGGTTTCCTTTTCCGTCTAAAGTTCTATTTTTTTTTGTTTTTTTAAAAATAATTTTCATGGAAACAAATTGAGAACTTTCAGAACCTAGGCTGTCTTTCATCAAAGTATATGATGTGCAACTCTCTACTGAGTTGATATTGTTGTTGACTACCTACAGGTTGGCACAGGATGGCTAACACTTTTCAAGAAATCAACCTGAAGAAATACAGTGAAATACAGCAGTGTTCTTAAAAATATCCTCCTTTCTGCAGGATTAAACAAAAAATGCATCATCTATAGAAACATGTCTGGGAGGTCATAGCCCCAAATAAATAAATAATCATCAAACCCAAGATGGCCATCTTGCCAACGCTCATTGGAATGAATCTCTGATTTTTCTCCAGAGCGTCGCGTCTCAACAGAGGACGTCAGGGGAAGGAAACGAGGACGTCGAGTCCCCCTTCGTGATGTCCTCAGTGCGCCGTCATCATCTGCTCCAGCAGGTCCTCCATGGGCACCCCGCCGATCAGCTCCCGGAAGAAGAGCTGGCTGATGACGCGGGAGCGGATGTTGCGCAGCGGGGGAAGACTGAGCAGGACCCGGGCAAAGCGCAAGGGGTCCCGGGGCCGCGTGGCCGCCACGTACTCGCTCAGACGCAGCTGGGCCTCGCTCTGAAGGGTCTCCACCATAGCGGGGTCTACCAAGCCTGGAATATCTGTACACAAACAGAGAAACAGAACAGAGACAGATATTAACGAATGTGCACTGTTATTATTTTGTTTGTTTCCACAACACATTTGTTCATCTAGAAATATAGGAACCAAAAAAAAAAAACAGTTTCATTCATCATGATGATGCCATATGTTAAAGGCTAAAGCTTTCAGATTTTCCTATGAAAGAATGTTTATCTCTCTCATTTCAGAGGAAAATCATCCAAATCTCAGACTTAACACATGTTAAGGTTACAACTTTGAATTGGAAAGATGCGATACATGCATTTGATCAAATAACAAATGAGAAATCCCAAAATCTCAGTCTTTTGAGGAAGCGACGTCAATTTCAATCACAAAATCAGATCTTTTGTCATTAGACATGTCGCTTCTGACCTGAATCAAACAATGCTTTATTGAGATACCGAAGGACATGGGCATCACGAGGGGGGGGGGGGGCTTGTCTCCCCCCCCCCTTGACGAGCACCACAAAAAAAACACAAAAAAAGGAAAAAGAAAAAGAAAAAGAGGGGCGAAATCATATTTAATATTTGCTAATTTAATGGGTGGTGGGGGGGGGGGGCAAATATCCCTTTCCACCCTCCAAAAATGATCAATTGGGAAAATGCTGGGAAAAAATAGGGATTTTTTTGGGAAAAAATGTGCTTTGCCCCCCCCCCCAAGAAAAAATCCTGGCGACGCCCATGCCGAAAGAGTCTGTCAATCAACTGTCCAATGTTACTCAGTGCATAGCACAAATGTTTACCCATCATGTCATCCCTGTGCGTCATTCGCCGAGTGTCACGATTAAACAAAAAATAAGAAAGAAAGAAGAATAAACAGATGATCCATTATTGCTGCAGCCCGGTCGTACATCTTGTGTGTCTAATTAAGCATGGTGTGGTACCATGACTAATTAATTTCAAGTGATTAATTTCAAGAAGATGCTGCACACTGGTGCGCATTGTGTGCATTGTCTGGGCCCTGCACGCACGATGGACTAACCTCAACGGTCTATCACACCCCCCCCCCCCCACACACACACACACACGAAGGACAACCTAGTAGAAACATAAAAGAGACCACTCTTTGAAAACTGTAGACCCTTGAAAAAAACCTTCTTTGTTAACTCACGTTATATTGGGGATATTGCTTGTTCCTGGCGAACTTGAGGGACAAAATGAAAGCAGGCACAAAATGCGAGTCAGGAGATAGAGGATAAAGTTTTACAGTCTTCAGCAACTCTCAGCCCCCATTGGGGTGGCATTGCTCTATGGTCAGATTATTCCATGTTAGTCAATATCCAGAGGTAGAATTACCTGGCTGAATTTCTAATTTTTTTTTTGAAACAAAATTGGAAGGAATGCTGAAAAATTTAAAAAATCTATTCCGATTTCTGTTTAGAATTTCATCTGATACAGTCAGCAGATGAGGAAATTAAAAACCCACTGACAATGATTATGATTGACTTGCGTGGCAATGGACAAAAACAAACATATGCTACTCAAAATCAAATTATTTCTATGCATTGTTCCCCGGGGAGCCCATAAACTTGCTCTCGGGGATTCATCCCCTGACTAAGATTACCAATAACCCCTGCTGTTTTTACTCCCATCAAACCAAGGCCAAACTGTTCTAACAACCGAGATGTACAAACACGGGGCTAGGCTTACTCACGCTTGCCTGAAACAGTCCAAACAAGCGCGGCGCGCGGAGTGAGCGGACACTAAAAATACACCGAGGGATGGGAACGAATGCCAACCAAAAAAAACAACAAAATGCAACAACCGGTAAATCAATGCCCCGTCCCTGAGTCCTGCTCCGTGATTGGTCAACCGGGGCTGGCCTCGGACGAGGGAACCAATCAGAGGCAGGCACAAGCAAGGACAACCTTGTTCCCATAGACAGAAAGAAAAAATAATGTTTTAGAAAAATAGAAAGGGAGGGAAAAAACACATGGCTGACTCTCTCTCTCTTCCAAGGACGATGAAGCACTCAAGGACGTCAGCCTGCCAAGGTCATTACTGTTAGTCCCAGCTACGCTAACAACAAGGCCAGATGTTGATTACTGCAGGGCGCATAAAAAAAAATAATAAGGGCCGTCTGATTTCTGCGCAAGGCCATCCAGACTTGTGCTAGTCATTACTGGCAAGGCCGGGCTGTATTTTCGGTTCTGCTGAAACCCCAAAACAACACAAAGATCCTTGTCTTTATTTAGCATTCATGGTCGTCTTTGTCTAAATTACATGGCAAAAAAAATTACTTTGTTTCAACATTAGAGGCAGTGAGAGTTTCATTGTTGTGATTCCAAAATTATTTGAGGTATTTTTTTTAACAGGGTTTTTAATTATTTCATTCAATTCAATTCAATGCAATGCAAAATTTATTTCTTTTAGATGAAACCATGACGCATGAACATTGAGAGATATCAAAGAAAAACAGGGGGGGGGGGGGGAAATAAAAAAGTATTCAAAGTTCGCTTTAAAAAACTTTAAAAAGAAGTATCAATTCCTCTGTACATGTAACACTGAACAACTAAATCAAAATAAACTCTTTTCAGCCCAACTTTTATTTCGTCAAATGTTTGATCTTTTTAATGTTCACTTTTTATAATATTCACATGCATCCCGATGTTTGTTACAAAAACCCAGTCATTTGTAAAAAATCTGAACTGACATACAGTGGTTTATGTCCTCGAGACAACTAGGAAAGAAAATGAAACAGAAAAGCCCGGTTCAAACATAATAGAGAACACGGTGGGAAAAAGACCAACCATTTTACTAAATTGTTTTTTGCATGGACACGAAGTCACACGATCAGACACAATTTCCATTAAGGTAATTGCCATCAACAGAAATATGATCCTTCGAGATATTTTGACAATTAGTGGGGAAAATAAGCTTTTCGTCAGATTTCGACATGAGTTTGAAGCCTTTTCAGAGAAAATTTCTAAATCATGTCTCAAAAAATGCAATTGTTTGTTTGGTTTTGCAATTACAGGGGTGTAAGGCCTTTTACTTTTTTTGTAATTTTTGGGGGCAGTCATCAGATATTACAAAGAACAATGAATGTTTAGTTAAGAAAATATTACAACTAATAATGTGAATCTACGTATATAAACATGGATGTAAACAAAGTTGATATCGTCGCTAGATATTGTCAATTTTTTTTTAAATTGAGAACTTCAGTACACACTGAATCCATTAAAAAAGGGAACAAATGGGGTAAACATAAATGCTATTAATAACTAGAGTGATCTGTAAGTTTCACAGTCTGGCACATGAAAATGTGTTGTTTGTACATGAAGTTAAAAATGTTCCACGATGTGCCACAAATCAACAAAAGGATCACTGTTCCCAGAAAACCAGACAAAATACCCCGGAACTACCCCCCAAACATTCCTTTTGTGCGCGTAGGCAAAGAGGGAACATGAATGTATTACTTTGTTAAGATCACAATTGAATATGCTCACCAGACTGTTAAGCAGTCGAATTTTCAAGAAAGTAACAATTCTGGCAAAAACAGCCAAACAAAAATAAACTGTTTTTTTCTTCGATGGACATACAGCTGCGCATGCATTGCTTAACAGCAAAACCTGTACACTGTACATCAAACAGTGGGAAGATGCTTTAGTTTAGTGGATGAACATTAATATAACCATTAAAGTTGTTTTAAATGTCAGCTTTTGCCTAGTTGAAGTTGTTTTCTGGAACCACAGAAATAAAACAAACTTGGCAAATTAACTTGTGACAAAACAGAACACGATGCACATGTTAGGCCTTCTATGCCTGTGTAGAAATGTTCAGATTAAACACCAAAATTGAGAACAAAATTGCCGTGGGTTCTTAAAGGCATTAACACAACAGTTCTGACGATGTGTGGTGCATGTACTACTAAAAAAAAGAAGACATTTTGTACTCAATGTGAGTAGACATTTTTAAAATACCGAGTCAAATTAAACAAAGTATTTTTAGTAAAGAACTTTGAGACAGTGTAGTGTCGTCTCCCAAATCTGAAGCAAAAACTCAAAAAACTATCAACGAGTGCATTGACACAGTTTGAAACAAGTGAGCGTATTCTCATTCACTTTGGAAACATTGTCAGAATTTGAAGAACAGAACTTAACCAAAACGAAACAAGAAAAGTTGTCTTTTATCCACAACCAACAGGTATACTTGTACCATAAACTCTTTGCTTTAATAACCATATATACAAGCTTCTTTTCTTCCTATATTAATATATTTAAATTAATTCTCCATCAAACATTCATTAAAACACAACAAGTTAAATGGTGGGGATGTCGCTGCACACGATTTCAAGTCGAATGCAACCAATAAATAATGATAAATAAATACATGTACATACTCAAAGCATGACTGGTTTGATAGTCACTACAAACTGTCTCTCTCTCTCTCTCTCCGAATGAGGAATTGTCTCTTGCTATGATTGCACGGCCTGTTTCTTCGATTCCTCCAGGAGTATCTTCAGTTTGCTCTCTCTGGGGCTCGGTAGACCGTTGAGGCAGTGGGGGCTGGTGCAGGAGCAGGGAGCCCCGTTGTAGTAACTGTCCGTTAGCAGTCGGTACAAGATGGAGCTCTTTGAGTCTATCTGCGGACAGTGGCAGCCGGAGTCGACGTGGTGGACCGCTGACCACTGCGTGGCCGCAGCCGCGGCTCGGGCCATCATCTTGGCTTTGCTCTTGGACGGCTGGACGAGGTTGAGGGGCTGACTGGACTCAACGTAGGCATCAGACATGATGTACATCTCAGGAGGGGTGTCAGGGTTACGCTGCTCCCACAAGAAAACAGTCAGAATCTCACCAGAGTAATTCTGCTCAGATGCGATGGCTGAAACTCGGTTTGATGGTTGATGCCAATAATCCAGTTGCAACAACTCTTTCTTTCCTTGTAGCGGAGATTTGGTACAAATGTTAGGCTCTTGTGTTGCAAGTTTGCAGACAGACTTGATGATAGTTATCCCACTGTATGATGGCTTGTGACAGAGT